GGGCATGCAGAAGGCAGCCCATCTATGATTCCCTCTCATTATTGTTTCTCTTTCTCTCTCCCTCCCTCTCCCTTTCTCTCTCAAATCAATAAAAGTATATTTTAAAAACAGGTTTTTTAAAAGAAGCAGGTACAGCTGTCTGCAAATTAAAGTTGCTACCCATGCTTCCAAGGGAAAAAGGCTTCAGGCCACAAATGCATGGAGACCTTTGGCGGCATCAGGGATTCCTGGCCAGAGGACCCCAGAGGGCGCCCCCCCCCACCCCCCTGCATGCCAGGCCTGCCTCCCCAGCAGCCCCGTCCCAGCCCTGCATCCAGCTGTCATCCCGAGAGTGCCACCGCTCCCTGCAGTTGGTTAGGGACACATAGCGATCCTTCGTGGAATGTGCCCCACCATGGTCTGGGGTTCCTGCTGCCCCCTGGTGGGGCTCCCCGGGGGAGTGGGGAGCACCGGGTCCGGAACCGTCCGGTGGAGCAGATGGCGTCAGGTGCGGAGTTACTGCTCTCGGCGTCTGCATTTCCACGTGTCGGATGGGAGTGGGCCAGGCACGTGTAGGGCTGTGGTGGGGCTAGCAGTAGGGTCCCTAGGTGCTTAGGAATGGGGAAGGAGGCGTTTTGGGGTTTTTTTTTTAATATATTTTTATTGATTTCAGAGGAAGGGAGAGAGAGAGAGCGAGACATCAATAATGAGAGAGAACCATGGATCGGCTGCCTCCTGCTCGCCCTTCACTGGGGATCAAGCCCGCAACCCGGGCATGTGTCCTTGACCAGGATCAAACCCGGGACCTCAGTCTGCAGGCCGATGCTCTATCCACTGAGCCACACCAGCCGGGGACGGGGTTTGCGATGATTTCCCTGCTGGATTTTTGCAGGGGAAGCAGCAGCACGTGCTGGGTGGGCCTGCGGTGCCGAGAGGCCCCAGGGACTCGGGCTGCCTTGCGGGGAGGCTGTGCTCCCCCGCCCCACAGGGATGCCCCTCTCAGAGGGAGAAGCGTGAGTCTTGGGGTCTCTCATCCTCTTCCTCAGCCCGACCTGGCTCCCCCAAGGCCCCGCCTGGCCTGCCTGCTCCCGGCACACCCCCGTCTGTCCAAAGGCCGCTTGGCCCTGGATACTGAGCTGTCCTGTCCTCACTCGCCTCCTCGCCCAGCGACTCGCTGCTGTTCATTCCCTCAGATCTTAGCGTCATTCCCTAGCTTGTTTATTGTTAATCCTCACCCGAAGATATTTTTCCATTGGTTTTTAGGGAGATTGGAAGAGACAGAGAGAAACATCGATGTGAGAGAGACACATCGAGCGGTTGCCTCCTGCACACGCCCCGACCAGTGCCCCGGCCCGGGAAGGAGCCTGCAACTTAGGTCCGTGCCCTCGATGGCAGCTGCGGGCCGTCTGTGTGAGCATCTGTGCAGCGTCCGGGCACAGCGGGGCTCTCCGGAGAGCGTGAGCGGAAAGTTTACTACGTGTCATTGGCTTTAGAAAAGATGTGTCTCTCTCATTGATGTTTCTCTCTGTCTTTCCCTTTCGTTGCGTGTTTCCCAGCTCTCCTGTGTGTTGGTGTGTGCGTGTATGGGTGGGTGGGTGTGTGGGTGTGTGTGTGTGTGTGTGTGTGTGTGTGTGTGTTTGTTTTGTTGTTTGTTGGTGGGTGTATGGGTGGGTGTGTGGGTGGGTGTGTCGCCAAGAGCTCAGCGCACGTCATGTGAGGACAGGGAAACAAACGCACACCTGCCCGGCCAAGAGTGACCTCAGGAAGACAGAAAGCATTTATTCCGGAAGGATCCGAGGGGGCAGAGCGCAGAGCCCTCGGTTCCTTCCCTTCACGAGGACAAGAGAGGACTGACCGCTGCCTGTCGGTGCCCGCTGTGTGCCAGACGCTGCCATGGGGTGCGATCAGCTGGGTCTCGGCGGCTCTGCTCTGCGGGTCGGATTTTGTGCCCACTCAGGAGGTCAGAGGGCCCCGGGCAGTGACCTCACGCAGTGGGCAGCAGCCCAGGTCCTCAGGGACGGGGATTGGCCTCATTCTCTCTGGCCTATCCTGGAAGTGTGAGCTCAAATCCTGTGCCTTTATTTTTATTTTTAAAAATATATTTTTTATTGATTTCAGAGAGGAAGAGAGAAACATCAATGAGGAGTGAGAATCACGGATCAGCTGCCTCCTCCATGTCCCACACTGGGGATAGAGCCCGCAAGCCAGGCATCTGCCCTGACCGGGAATCGAACCGTGACCTCCTGGTTCATAGGTCGATGCTCAACCACTGAGCCACACCAGCCGGGCTCAAATGCTGTGCCTTTAACAGGACCTGAGTGAAGTGCCAGCTTCCTAGTGTGAGTGCCGGGCAGGTGACCAGGTGAGCCACGCTGTTACCGTACCGTGTGGGGGTTTCTGGGACAAGCACCGCCTGGGAGCTGGTGTCGGATGCCTCTGGGAGCCTTGCCAGATGGCCCGGATCACGTGATTTTCGAGGGGCATCTACACCTGGCAGGCCCAGAGCCACCTGCGGAGTAGTGCCTACATGGCCCTGCCTACGGGTTGAGGCTGTCCCTGGAGGACTCACTTTTCCCCAAGGCACCTTCAGGGCCAAGCACCTGCCCTGGCTGGTTTGGCTCAGTGGGTAGAGCATCAGCCTGCGGACTGAAGGGTCCCAGGTTCGATTCCGGTCAAGGGCATGTACCTGGGTTGTGGGCACATCCCTAGTGGGAGTGTGCAGGAGGCGGCTGATCGATGTTTCTCTCTCATCATTGATGTTTCTAACTCTATCTCTCTCCCTTCCTCTCTGTAAAAAATCAATAAAATATATTTAAAAATATATATATACATAAAAGCAAAAAAAGAACCAAGCACCTTTGTTGGGACCTGCTCTCCTGACTGGGCAGGTGGCAGAGATGGTGCCGAGTGGGCGTGTGACAGCTGTGCCCGGCGGGGGGAGGAGGATGGGCGCCTGGCCAGCTGGGGAGTGAGCGTGGGGCCGGTCCAAGCTGTCACCCCGCGGTGACAGCCGGGATTATCGCCGTCGGTGCTAATTCCCACAGGACAGTTTCAAGTTTCAGGTCAAGAGCAGAGGCTAGTCCTCCGTTTCCGTGTGCGTCTGCACCGAGCTCCTCGCGGCTGCTTTTCCGGTGGCTCCTCGGCTGTGTTCAAGGCCCTGTGCTCGCTCCATGGAAACCCCGTGGCCAGCCGACTCTGAGGCCTTGGGGGCGGGGGGGGGGTACTGCTCTTGCCGATTTTTTTTTAATCCTCACCCTTGGATATATTTTTCTGTTGCTTTTTAGGGAGTGGAAGAGGGAAAGACAGAGAGAAACATCGATGTGAGAGAGACACATCGATTGGTTGTCTCCTGCGGGAGCCCCAACCAGGGCCCGGGCTAGGGAGGAGGTGCAACCAAGTAGGTGCCTGTGACTGGTATAAAACCCGGGACTCTTGGATCTGCAGGCCGACGCTCTATCCACTGACCCGCTTTGGGCCTCTGAGGGGCGGGGTGGGGCCCTGGTGGGCTTTGGGGTGGGCGGGCCAGCAGATGGGACTCCCGGGCCACGTGGAGGTGCCACGGAAGTAGAGAGCACAGCCGCCCGGGAGGAAGAAGCCGGGCTGGAGGAAGTCGTGGGGTTTTGTGGGGAGGAGCGACAGAGAGCCCGTGACTGGCAGGCTGGACCATGCGATAGCCAGGGCTTTCCGGAGTTACGAGACCTGTGCTGGACGCGTCCTTCCCCGGCTCGCTCGCCCGCCCCCTCGGCGTGTGGGGTGGAGCGTCATTATCCCCATTTCTCCGGTGGGAACATCAAGATGAAAGGCGCCGCCTCAGCCGGCCCGGGAGATGCAGGGATGTGTGAAGGCCCTGCAGGCTGGGAGGGGAGGCTGGGAGCGGAGGAATTGGGTTTCCCTTTCCAAACGCGTCCCTCGGGGTGGGTTGCTCCCTCGGGGCGGGGTGCTCCGGCCCCCTTGATCCTTGAGCACAGAAGATGGTCCAGGGAAAACCGCGGCAGCCTAGGCTCTGAACCCTACCACCTCCGGCCGGTCCCGGGAGGTTCACGCCCGCCCACATCTGGTGCCTCTCGGAATTCTGGTGCAAATCACCCGGTCTCACCCCATCACCACCCCCGCCTCGGCTCACACCCAGGTTGCCGGAAGTGGGGGATCCAGCTCAAGGTGTGGCTAAGTCCCCTGGACCCCCTGAGGCTCCAGGAGGGGGCCTGCCTATGTGGATCCCCAACATGCTCAGGGCACGTTGCTTCAGCGTTCCTCTGTGAAAGGAGGTGCCAGGGGCTCCTTGGGGAGTGTAAGTGGTCGAGGCTCTGCACCTGGGCAGTACCTGTTCCCACGGTCGTGTGTTGCCCGCCTGGGTCTCAGCGCCCCAGTTCAGGCTGGCATCACGGTGCCTTCCCCTCTGCATCTAGAAGCGAGTAAGCCAGTGGCCCTTTCAAGAGCGCCATAGATTGGGGCGACCCAGGACTAGGGTAGGGGTGAGACTTGCAGGCTGGACCCCCAGGACTGAGCCGGAGCTGTGCCGCTCCAGGGCCGGAACACCAGCCCGCAAGCGGCTCCCTCTCCCTCGGGGAGACCCCGACTCCCCGCTGACCCATCTCTGCATTCATACCTCCCACCGAAAGGACCAGGCCTGGGAACCAGCGAGGGCGGAGTGGGCCTGTCTCAGCAAACCCCACGGCTGGGGCTCACACAGCAGACGCTTCTTTCTCACAATCCTGGAGGCTGCGAGTCTGAGATCAGGCTGCCAGCCTGGTTGGTTTTATTTTATTTTTATATTTTTAAATATATTTTTATTGATCTCAGAGAGGAAGGGAGAGGGAGAAAGAGAGAGAGGAACATCAGTGATGAGAGAGAATCATGGATCAGCTGCCTCCTGCACGCCCCCTACTGGGGGTCGAGCCTGAAACCCCAGGTATGTATCCTGACCGGGAATTGAGCCGCGGCCTCCTGGTTCATAGGTCCATGCTCAACCACTGAGCCACACTGGCCAGGCCAGCCTGGTTGGTTCCTGGTGAGGATCCTAGTCCTGCCTCCCTCTCCTCCGTTAAGCCTCTGTGGTCACTTCCCCGGGGAAGTGGTCTCGGTTGCCCTGCCTGCAAGCCCAGCTGCCTCTCATGGGTGGACTCGCTGTGATGCACGTGTCATGTGACTCCTGGGATGCTGCCGGCTCCCGGGGCAGCGGCTGGGTCTGTGGTCCTCATACCATGTACCCAGCACGCTGCCCGGCGTGCAGTAGGGGCGTTGCACATCTTGACTAAACGGGTGCTCAGTAAATGCATCCGTTTGCTTGTCTGGGACCAAGTGCCTTAAGAAATCGCCCTGAGCCCCGTTGCTGCAGGCTCCGGGAGGTGCTGAAAAATAATAATAATAATAATAATGACGTCACCCCACGCCCAAGGCTGCAGCTCTTTCTGGCTGCGGTTCCGCCTCGGCCCACCCTGCCCTGGCACCAGCTCGTGGCAGACTCAGCCCGACCCAGAGCACAAATAATCTCTCCCTCTGGAGGATCTGGAGTCTTTAGGCACAGGGGGGCCCTTGGAGGCCCTAGAAGGTCCGTTAGCGACATCTGGATGCTGATGGGGGGATCCTTGTCTGCCCATCCTGGGGCCACTTCGTCTTAGTGCTAAAAGTCACTGGCAGCCCTGGCCAGGTTGACTCAGTGGATAGAGCACCGGCCTGTGGGCTGAAGGGTACCGGGTTCGATTTTGGGCAAGGGCATGTGCCTCGGTTGCAGTTCAATCGCCAGCCCTGGTTGGGGACGTGTGGGAGGAAACCAATCGATGTGTGTCTCT